GGGGGGGGGGGGCGGGGGCTAAGGAGGGGGCAGATGCCACAAGCCCTGAAAGGTTTAATTGGAGGGAACGCTTTTCCTTTTGCTGGCTCCATTGCGCTCTCGGTGTCGCGGCAGCGGGCAGGGTCACTGGCAGGACCCTTGCCTTCCTTTGGTGACCAGCTGGCACCTGTGGCCCAGGCCCAGCAGGCAGCAGAGAGCAGTGGCTCCCGCTGCCCAGAGGCGAGACGGCGGTGTGAGGGGGCTTCTCATTCAGAAGCCCCCCGCTCCAGTTCCCGTCTAGAGAGAGCTGGGGAAGAACCCTGCCCGGATCCCAGGAGAACTGCTGTCGCCTGGTGGTGCTGTCGCCACGGAGTAGACATGTTCCCTTATAACCAGCTGTCCATTCAGAACCCTGAGGACTAGAGTCCTGCGTTACTTGTAGGAATGGACCGTAGCTCCAAGATAAAGCTCCAGCTTGTCATGAAGAAGCCCCCAGCCTGATCCCTGACCGCCTTCCTGAGGAGAGCTAGGAAAGAGCCATGCCTGAACCACTGGAGAGCTGCTGCTGCTGCCCGTCAGTGCTGACCATACTGGGCTAGATGGGCAGAGGCACTGACTCACTGGGCCGCCACTTTCCCCGGCCTGCTCTCTGCCGTCAGATCTGCTCTCGGACTGAGGCCGGGGTGCTCGCCTTCCCGCTCTCGTCCAACACCCTTGTCCCCCGCTCAGCCGGGTGGGGGGGGCGTCGGCGACCCCGCTCGCGGCCGCGTTCCAACCGTCAGTGCGCAGAGCCACACCGAACGAGGAACGCCGGAGGCCAGGGCAGCAGAGCGGACCCGCTGAAGGCACAGACCGGAGGGTGCCTTGCCCGGGGAGCCCTCGGCCACCGGAGCCCGGAGACGTTCGCTTAATGCCACACCCCCAGCCAGGCTCTTGGTCTCCCAGCTCCTCTGTGGGGAAGCGGGCGGATCGGGTGGACGGCATGCCCCGGAGCGCTGCTGTGGCGGGCCTGGGCCTCGCGCAGTTTGCTTTCCACCCAGCGATAACAAAAGAAAAGGAAGCCCTTGCAGATTAAGATTAAGGCCGCGGAGGGCTGAGTCAACGGAAGGCGATGGTAGCAGATAAGTTCTGGGGCCGGGCCCTGTGCATCACGAGGAGCCCGTGCCCCTCGGTGGCAGCCGTGACCCCACAAGAAGCCCAGGAAAGAGGCCCGAGCCGGTGCCCTGAGTCATGCGGCGAGCCTCCCCGACCGAGCCGCCCCCTCTCCGTCCTTTCCACGTTCGTTTCCTTTGCAAGCGAGTCCTCTCTTCCTCGCAAAGGAGGTTCAGCATGAGATTGGATTTTCCTTCACCAACATGACAGGCTCACTAATCACTAATCAGCCAGAGAGAGGGTTCTGCTTGGGTTGGCTGGGGTAAGGGGGGTATCCCAGGCCAGTTTCCACAGGGCTACGGACGCCCCCGGAACCAGGCGCTGGAAGGGCCCGAGGCTGCAGGGCTTCCCAAGGACGGGCTCCAGGGGGCCGGGCGGGCAGGCGGTCTGTCTTAGCTGCCTCGGGCTGCACTGGATGTTTTCCGCCCGTCTTCTGGGCCTGCTGCTCCAGTCGGGGCTGTGGTGCTGGTCTGAGCACCATGTGGGGCAGAGTTCTTCTGCCGAGCCCCTTGGAAGGAGAGCTCAGCTGGGGGCACGCCGAGTGCTGGCGCCTGCTTGCCTGGGCGAGCAGCTGTCCCGGCCTCGTGCCTGAGCGGCAAGCGAGTGGGGGCCTGGGGCGCCACAGCTGTCCTAGGGGGAGGCAGGAGACCCCTGAACCCCTGAGACGGGATCCAGGGCAGTGGCTTGCACCACTGCTTCTGGCCTCCCTCTAGACCAGAATGAATCTGTTTCAGTGGTTGCTGTGATGGCGGTTTTTGCTGTTGCAATAAAGAAGCCCAACCACTTCTCCCCACAGTCCCCACAAGAGAATCCCTGCATTTGTCTAAGAAATATTGTGGCCTCTGTTTCCCAGATTGCTCAGCCAGGCAGTCCCTTGAAATTGCAGGCCGTCATTTGTGTGTGAGGTCAGTGTATTAGGAAAACAAACACCGACGGTTTCCTAAGCAGGAAAGAGTTTTCATGGGGAATTTGCAGCGTGGCTTTGGCGGCTTTGGCTGTATGCTTTGAGACTGATATTGCAAAATACAGAACTTTTTATTCTCACCAAACAGGAGAAAATCCAGAAAAATGGGCAAATCTTGTACTTTCCTTGCATGAGCAAAAATGCTTTCTCACCTAGAAAGAATCTGTGGCTTAAAACATTTGCAGAAATGAATTGATTCAATGTCTTGCTGAGTTACCATTTAATGCGGACTTGGATCTTTTCTGCTGAAGGAAGTGCGAGGGCTCTGCGTAGCCGGGTGCCTGTCTTTGACATCACCGTTTTTTCCTCCCTTTGCCATACGAAGGAGAAAAGGAAGGCAGAAGTTGGCGGAATGTGCAGAGGCACCTGCCGCATCCGAGCTGCTGCCCTGAGCCCTCCAGACCCACGGTGGCCGTCTTCCTACATGCCTTCCCCCTCTCCGTGGGGAGGCGTCCTCAGAGGGCTCTGCTGCTTGCCTCCTGCCCTGTGTTTCTGGGTCGCCCTCGTCCCGGCTCTGGTGAGGGCCTTCCAGTCTTGTAGCCATGCCGGCAGCGAGGGCGATGGAGACCCTCCCTGGCCCAAGCCCCAGCTCTGCCCTGGTCTTGCTTTTCCAAGGCTGCAGCCGGGGCGCCGATCCTTCCGACAGTCCCCAGACAATGCTGGGGCCATCCGACTCGCCCTGCAAGATGAGGCGTGGCGTGGCGGTGCGTCCCTGTCCCTGCTCTCCCGTCTCTGAAAATTGATTTGAAGCCCATAAGCAGCAGGACGGAAACGCTCTGCTTGGCCATGCGCCATTAAACTATGTTTATTTAACCAATGAAATCTGCGCCCTCGCAATGCAATGATGGGGTAGCCAAATTCATGTCAAGGTAGCCATGGCTGCGGGTTCTAACAGCCGCTGGTTACCAGGACTGGCAATACTGTGACGGGTGGCTGGTGCCTTCCAGAGCCAAACGCCATTTCTGAGGAGCCTCGAGGGGCTGCAGTCCCCACAGCCAGGGAGCAAGGGCAGGGCTGCACCTTTCCATGGACCGGCCTTCGGGTTCTGAGGACCTCGGAAAAGTTCGTGCAGGATCCAACCAGGGGCAGCAGCCCCTCGAGCCCGTGGAATGGGAGGTGTGGATCGGGCGGATGAGAACAACATCTTTGACTTGACGCTGTGCTGTGGAATGGCTTTGCAACATGGCTGTACAGGCGCATCGATTCCCAGAAAGTTGGGTGTTCCAAGCCAGACACAAGTCAAAAATGCAACTTCTTAACCTCACTGTAGAAACATATTGCAATATATTGAAACCTCAGGAGCAAGAAAGGGCAGACACGGAAGACTGCTTTAAGACAAGGCCGAGAGCGGTGCCACCATCCACCCGAAGCCTGGCAAAACAGTCGTTTCCAACGGCCCTTCCAGCAGATCGGTAAAAAGGAAGGAGGATGCAGGGCGTTCGCCTGTTCCTAGAGAGCACCCTCGTCAGACAGGAGCTGGAAAAGGCTTCGCCGGCTGCTGTCAGCCAGGGGGTCACATCCTGTTCGGGCTAGAATGGGGAAGCTTTGCTCCTGCGCTGGGGCGCCCACGCGTGGCGAGTGGGTAGAGATGCAGCTCCGGTGCCTCCTGATTAGGTTTAAATCCGTAACCAGAGAGTTGAATTGGGGGAATGGACTTTCATGCCACAGCTGTTTAGCGATATCAGAAGTCCTCAAGGGATTCAGATGATTTTCGCTTTCTAGGCGTCTGGCCTGCAGATTCTTCAGCAAACTGTTTTTTCCCAAAGCATATGGATCCCATGGACTTGTGAACATTTTTTCTTTAACTTTCCAGAATTTTGAGCAAATTTTGTCACAGAAGAATATGGGGCATTAAAAGGGACTGACCAAAATGCATATTTTCTTTACCTCCAATGGGTAAAATGGGCTTCAGCACAAGTACATATTAGTGTAAATAAACTTTGATGCCAGTGCGCATTAATAATAATGCATAGGAAAACAAGTCTGCCTCCAGCAGAAGTGTAAATTTGAACGCATATGAAAACATCAGCCGAAGTGTGAATTACCATTAATCAGCATTACCAGTTCTGCATTCATGCCAGAAAGCCCAGAGGAAGTTCCTCAATTTGAAACGCTAGAATAAAAACAGTGCTGCATTTCCTCTCCGTGCCATGGTAATAATATGCACATATTCATCTGTTAGGGTCCAGTTCTTTGCAGAAAAAGTATTACAACGCCCAGCATGAGTCAACCAGGCGTGAAGCTTGCAGAAATAGCTCCTCGCCGCCCCCCCTCGCCCGCCATGTCCTTTAAGCTGGGAAGGGAGTGGGAATTAGCCAGTCTAAGCATGGGGAGGAGGGAGAGCGTATTTCCAGAACGGCACGCCTCCCACTTGCAAGCTCACGCATCCTTTTCTCCCCAGTCGGACCTTAAAAAGTCTTTCGAAGGTTTTCCGTGCATTGCAGGCTGCTGCCATCTAGTGGTACTTCATGGCCATGGCAGCCAAAGCCCTCCTTCCCGCGGAAGGCAAGCTCCCGGAGAGCGGGCGATGAGGCGGACAAAACGCCCTGCCTCCCAGGCAGGAAAAGTCCCGCAACTGCCAACATTTTTGGAGTGGTAGGACTGTTTTTCCTGTCTAAACACACACGCGGTTGCACCCTAAATTGGTAAGGCTTGTGTCAGGATCCTGTCGCCTCGGCACAGTCGGTGCCTCGCACGATGGAATTCTGCCCTCGGGCTGCAGAAGGGATTTCTTTACATGGAAAACTGGCAAGTGATGGAGAGAGATCAGCTCAGACTCTCTCTGACGAGCCAAGATTTTTAAATAAAGTTTTTATGCAGAGGGTTATTTATAAAGCTTGATGAGAAAATGTGAGTATCTGCAGCATAAAAAGCTAGCAAGGCAGGAACGGGCCCAGTTCAGCCCCTTGCCGCTGCTTTTCTGGCTGCAGGGTCCCACTTGCCACGCAGTGAGCGGCTCCCTCAAGGGCTCCCCTGGGCAGCCACAGAGTGCCAGGCCAGGGGCTGTCTGAACGTGTGTGGTTCCTGCCACGAGATGCCCACGCACTGGGATGGCCTGAGAAGGGGAGCTGAAGGAAAGATATTCAGTGTGCCTAGAATCACATGCTGCTTGGGAAGGGCATTTTGGTCAATTCTGGGAGAGCTGGGGTTGGCAGTCTCTTTTCAGAAAGCCAGAATTCTCTGGGGTACCTTCAAGACGGGATGCTCAACTCTGTCTGCATCTGGTCCGTGCAAGCCTCAGCGATATTCGGTGCTACATTTGTCCAGTTTCTGCAAATTGTGCCGTGTATGTTTTTAAAAAAAGCTGCAAACATTAGTAATAGTAATCATTCTACTGTACCTAACAGACAAAATCCTCTGAGAAGTTCATTAAAACAATTCTGTTCTAAATTTTCCCCACTATTCTTCTGAGGAATCCCATGTCCTCCCCACCCCGCTGGCCCAGTGGCCTTCTCCCCCCCACCCCCAAATTCGGCACATGTTCCACAGCACAGCGCTACAAATTACTGAGACGATTTAAACAATACATGTAGAAACTATATTTATTTTGTCAGCATAAGGCATTTCTTTCAAATCAATGGAACTACACACCACAGGCCACCATTAGCACCCCTTCATCACTGGAAGCCATTCTGAAACGGAGGGACCACCTTGACCTCAGCAGGTTCCACAACCCACTGGAATCGTGTCCTCCAGTGGCAAGGAAGGTGTGGCCGGCGGAGCAGGGCCTCTCCCGCCCGGCCCCGCTCTGTCTTGGAGGAGAGCGAGGGTGGTGGGGGAGCCATCCGTTCAGCCTGTCAGCCGGGGGCTTCCCAGTCTCTTCCGACACAGACCCCCGAGCGCCCTCGGGCAGGAGGGGCAGTGGCCGCAGGACCCACGAGCGGAGTGGCCTGGAAGAGGCCTCCACGGGGCGCAGAGGTGCGCGCCGGCCACCCAGGCCTGTCCAGGGTCCTGACGGAAGCTGCTTGCTCAGACGGTGCTTCGCCGTCCCCGAGCCAGGCCTGGCGCTGCTGCCGCGCTTGGCCCCTGTGAGCACTTCAGTTTTCCTGCCCTTGGTACCTTCAGCTGGGCTGGGAAGGACAGACTCACTCTCGTCTGGACCGGGGTTTCTTTTGTGTGCGTGCAGCTGGGCGTCTGGCCCACCCAGTTTCCATGTTCATGCAAACGGATCACTTTTTAAAAAATGATATTCATCTGAATGTGAATTCACCTTTCGATTTGTGTTCGTAGGAGGCACTTCCTCTCAATATGTACATTTAAAGCAGCAGGACCTGCTTCTGTTTAAAGCCCATCCTCTGAATTTAGGGAGATGTCAGAGATGAAGATTTGCTTGGTGCTGCCAAAGAGGGCTTGAGAAAATTTATGAGTCCTTCGACGTGGGCAAAGCGGACCAGCCTGCTGACTACATTCGCAGATGATACCAAAGTGGCGTCAGTGGCCACAACTGGGGAGCAGGTACTCCAGATACAAAAGGAAGTGGGTGGGAGACAACAGGATGGCGTTCAGTGCGGGTAAGTCTTGCCCTCGGAACACAGGAATACGCGTAGGTGTCACGGGCACAGGATGGGGGACAAGCGGCTGAAGAGCAGCACTTGTGGAAGGGATTTTGGGGTACTTGTTGACAACAGACTGAACACGAGCCAGCAGTGTGACTTGACGGTCAAGAGGGCAAACACCAACCTTGGTTGCATAGCCAGAAGCATGGCTTCCAGATCAAGGGAGGTGTTGATACCGCTCTACACAACTCTGGTGCGCCCTCAACTGGAGTACTGTGTCCAGTTCTGGGCTCCACATGGCAAGTGGGGCAGAGCAAGGCTGGAATCCGTCCAGTGCGGGATCACAAGCGTGGCAGCCAGGTTGGGGTGGATGCCAAATGAGACGAGACTGAGGGAGCTGGGGCTTTCCAGCTTGGAGAAGAGAGACTCCGAGGGGTCTTATAGTGACGCACAGGTGTGTGAAGGTAGAGGGTTGCGGTGTGGTTCCCCCTGCGGTGGAGGGCAGGACGCAGTCCAGTGGGGCAAAGCTCAAGGAACCGGGTTTCAGCTGGGATGGCAGGAAGTACCTCCTGATGGTTAGGACCCCTAGGAGATGGAATGGGCTTCCACGGGGGGGGGGGGTGGAGGCCCCATGGGTGAGCGTGTTCAAGGAACAATTGGACACCCACATGTTGGGGATTGGCTGAGCAAAGCCGGCAGTCAGACTAGATGGCCCAGGAGGCCCCTTCCGACTCCCTCTGCCTCTGTGTTTCTAAGTGAAGGATGCTTCTCACGCAGGATCTCAGAACTGGGAAGGCATCGACCCAAGCCCGCGCACCTCACCACGAGGGCAGCCCGGCATCTCCTCCGGCGCTTAGCCCAGGCCTGTCCCGCTGGAGGGGTTCCGCTTTCTGTCCTAATGAGCAGCCGGCCGGGGCGGCACAGCGACCCAGGCTCCAACGGCAGTTGCGCGCAGCCCCCGCCCGGCCCCCGAGGGCAGGCCACTGGTGGCCCAGGCCCAGAGCTGCGGCCACAGGTCTGCAGGGCTCCAGGCAGGAACATTTGCAAGACGATCTGGAGACACTGTCCGCACGGAACTTGGGACTTTCTGCCGGCAAAGCAGGGGCTCTGGCCATAGCAAGGTGGTGTGGGCCTGAGGTGCCCAGAGAACTGGGCTGGGGCCTCGGGCAGCCAGACTCGTCCCCTGGCCTGGGACTTGCCCCATCATCTTAGGAAATCCTTCTGAGTGCCTCGCCTGGCCACACACCTTTGTACAAACTGTTTCTACAGCAACGCAGGACATAAAAGTGGGGGATCTGTTGCTTACTCCCAGGTATGGTTCCACAAAGCAGAGGCGGCCTCACCATGACGCACAGCAGAGTTCAGGAAGCCCACCGCCCTCTCGGGGGGAGTGTCCCCCCCTTCTTTCAAGCACTGCAGCTGATCGGAACGAGATCGAACGCGCCTTGCTCTGGCCCAAGCGCTGCAGAGTCAACCCAGGCAGGCGAATCGCCGGACGACGGGGGGCGGGGGGTGGCAGCATTTCGGGGCACGACACCGGTCGCAGCCTTTCACACGTTGGCGGCTCTGCAGCTTCGGGGAGCCCCGGAGCGCAAGTGGTCCTGCGCACGGCCCACGGGTCCGGCCCCCCCGTGAAGGCCCAGCTTCCCAGGGGGCGTCCTCCTGCTCAGAGAACGGCGGGCGGGTGCTCTGCGGGACGCGGGGGCTTCTGCTGGACTGCGACAGAGACGGTTTCTTCTCGGAAGGACGCGGGCGGCTGCCTGTGGCGCTTCGGGGGCTGGGGGAGGAGGGCACGCTGCCGCTCGGAATCGCTGCGGTCCCGCTGGCCCGGCGGTGGGGGGGACACGGGGAGGGCTGGGGATCCGGGCGGGCGGGCGGGCACGGGGAGGCGCTGCTCCGCCACGGCCGCCATCAGTTCACGGTGGGCACCTGGCTCTGATGCAGGCTGAACTCTTTGGCTTTGAGGCGCAGGCTGGCGATGCTGTTGGCCATGTTGACGCCTTGGGTGGGCGCGGAGGGGCCGCTGGAGCTGTACGAAGGCAGGGAGCTGCTGCTGCAGGGCAGGGTCCGGAGGGGCGGGGGGCAAAGGGGCGGCACGTGAGCGCTGGCAGTGGCGGGGGCTCCTCGCGAGGGCCGAAGGGCAGCCGGTCCGGCAACGTGTTGCCACGACAGCTGCCACGGAGGCCCCGAGAGGACGCCCCCCCACCCCCACCCCCCCCTGCTCCCCAGCAGCTGCTGAGCGCAGGCTCGTATCTGACTGGTGCTGCTGTTGGCCTCCCCTCCCCATACCAGCCAATACCGCAAAACCTCTGGTTATTAACAACAATTTTGCACCAGCAGTTCCCTGAAATAGCCTACCATTTCATCAAAAAAATATTAAAAAGCTAAAAACGCAGCCAAGAAAAGCTACCACTTTGGATCATGGCAGCTGGAGTCCCCATCCTGGGTGGTCAGCAGGTTGGGCAGGTGCTCTTTCACCACTGATACTTTGGACGCTGCTACCGCCGTGTTGTCCTCATCACCACACACATGCAGCCAGGTGTGCTGTCGGGAGCAGGATGGGAGGGGGAGGGTGGCCCCGGCCTGGGCTTACCTGTACGGGGAGGTGGAGGACCAGGAGAGATAATCGGGACTCAGGGCGGTGGGCCGGGGAGCCACGGGCTGCTCGATGGCCGCGTCTTGGCTGTAGGATTTGAGGAGTGAGGCTGACCTGCTGGCCAGCATGGCCCTCTCGTTGCGGCGGAATTTGGCTCTCCGGTTCTGGAACCACACCTGGGCAGGGCGAGCGGGGACGTCACTGCAGGTGGGGGTAAGCAGACACCTCCACTGGGCCAGCCCCGGGCTGCCCCGGCCCCCACCCCCCTCTTCCCCGTTGCCACCTACCTGCTTACTCACCTGCCTCTCCCGGGGGCGGGCATGTGCCCCCGTGTTCCTACTCTTCTAGGGGCTGGTGGGCTGAGCTGAGGAGGAAGGCTTCTGTGGGATTAGCAAGCTCCAAGAAGGCTTGGAGGGGCCGCTTGCTAATCCCACAGAAGCAGGAGGGACGCCCGGCTCGGGGCTGGCTGCACCGAGTGCCACCGTGATCGGGCCCCTCCGGAGGGCCTGCCCCCCCCCCACAGGGGCCCAGGAACAAGGGCCCCCTGAGCGGCGAGCCACTCTTTGGGGCCAGCCGCTCACTTCCCGGCGGGTGTTTCAGCCTTGCAGATGGACGGGGGGGGGGGGGGGAAACTGCATGGAAGCTGGGAATTAGCACAACAAAGGGTGCGGAGGGAAGGGGACGTGGCCAGGGGCGGGGGGGAGGCCTTGCGGAGAGGGCGGGGGGCCGTTTTGGCCGGGACCCGCGGTGCCGCCCCTGCGGCAGAGCAGCCCCTGGCCCTGCGGTTCGGCGCCTCGGTCCCCCACTGACCTGGACTCTGGCTTCGCTGAGGCTCACCCTCCGCGCGAGCTCCTCCCGCACGAAGGCATCGGGGTAGTGAGTCCGCTCAAAGACGCGTTCCAGTGCCTGCAGCTGGCTGCTGTTGAAGGTGGTGCGGTTCCTCCGCTGCTTCTTCTTCCGCTTGGCAGCGCTGCGGGCCGGACTCAGGCCCTCGCCTGCTGGGGAGAAGGACGCCAATCAACCGGAGGACAGGGATCCGTTGGGAACAGCAGAGACACAGAAACACAGAAGCAGAGCGAGTCAGAAGGGGCCTCCCGGGCCATCTAGTCTGACCTCCGGCACCAGCCGGCTCCGCTCACGACGTGCCCACCATGTGCACGTCCAGCCTGTCCTTGAACACCCGCACCGGTGGGGCCTCAGCCACCTCTCGTGGGAGCCCATTCCCACCCTTGGGGGCCTGACTGTCAGGAAGCGCTTCCTGGCATCCAAAGGGAACCTCACGGGGAAGCCCACTGGGATGCCTGGGGCTGCGGCCTGCGGCTGGGGCATCGCCTCGCAGGCCTGGGGCATCGCTGCAGCGGAGGACGTCCTGCCCGCATGCGCCCCACCTCGCTGGAAGCGCCTGCACGCCAGGCAAGGGCATCCCGGCAGGGTGCCGAGCCCCCTCTGGCCTGTGCCCGACATCCACTTCGGAGCAGCCCTCGGGGCCGCTTCCCACGGTGGGTGGGGCCACGGGCAAAGGGGGCCCGGCCAAAGCACCAGCCCATCTTGGCGTAAAGCCGCTATTGCCTGTAAGTCAGAGCAAAGGCATTTTGGCCTCACTGAACTGGAAGAGCTGCACAAACGCACGAACACCGCCAAGAGGAAAGGAGCAGACCGACCGGGGTGGACGGGATCCTCGCGGAGGTGCTGTGGCTCAACACCCGTCACAAAGACCACTGCCCGCCTGTGGGGCTGGGGTGGCATAACGGTCCCATTTTGGCGCACCGTGTCACTGGAAACTTAGAATGGAACAATTCCCCCACCCCTCAAAAAGCTTCCCAGCATGTGTGTGTTTTAGTTTAAATTCTCTGCTGAAATCCTATACAGCGATTTTTCTGCTTACGCAAACATCTGGCTTCCATTTGTTCCCTAATGGCGGGTGGGGGGGGAGGTTATTTTGGAATGGTTTTGAAATTTGGAATAGTTCTTTGACGGCCCTTTGATTTGCAGCAGTGCCTTGCCCTGGGTTCCTCTGCTGTGTGTCAAACTTGAGCAGCTATGATGGGGCAGCCCCCGCCCCCCCCAAACCAAGGGCGCCCTTGCCTGCCTGGGGAAGCGCCCCACTATGGCCCTCGCTGCACTGGCCAGAGGGTGTGAGAGGAAGGCACGGGGCCCCCAGATGGAATCCGACGAGGGGTTGCCCGCCTTGCTTTGAAAGACTCTTGGGGGTCCGTGTTTTCAGACGTGTGTTTGCGCGAGAGGTTGGCCATGAGCCTTCGTCCCCTTCAAGGTGTCCTTGCTGGTTGTCCAGGCCACGTTCGGCTCAAGGTCCATAACTGGGTTCAGAGAGCACAAAAGCGCCCAGGGGTCATGCGTGGGTTGTGGCTGAACCGTAGGTCTTTGCTTGAACTGTGGCTAGTTGCGGTGAGTGAACCCAGTCAGGCTATAAACGATGGCGGACAACTCCCAGTTCTTGGCCCAACAACACTGCACAGGCTCCCTGCATGAGGTCCTTGCAGTTCATCAGACTGTGAGTTGTCGTTGAAATGTGAGTTGTGGAATGAACCCATCCCTGATAATAAGCCATGGTTGGTTAACCACAAACAACCCAAGAACCAGGCAGGGACCCTCTTACAGTGAACAAGCCATCGTTTCTCAACATGGCTGGGTTCATACCACATGATAACCCAGAGTTCAACAACACACTCTCAGTATTCAAGTTCAAGTTATGCCATGGTGTTGTCTGAACCCAGCCGCTCACCCAGAAGGAGGCAGCACAGGTGAGGCCCTGGAATTGTCTTTGAATTAAATTTACTGACATTTTGGGAGAGTTCTGACATCTGGGACAGTTCTCTCGCTGCTAGATGTAGCTGTGCCGCATCCCTGCAGTATTGCAGGGGAGGCGGGGCTCGCAGGATTCCTTGCAGGGCGGCTGCCTTGCTTCGCCACCCCTCTCAGACTCTCTTGGGGACTGCAGTCCTCACAGTAGCCTGGGGGGGGGGACTTTCCCAGCGCCCGTGAGCCCCTCCCAGTGCTGTGCCGAACGCCCCCAGCTTTGCTTCCATGCACAGGAGGCGGTTGCTTTGCTGCCTCTTTCGTGGGGATGCCGGGAACGCCGAGGACATTTCTCGAGGGGCAGGACGGTGCTGCATGGGAGTTGGGGCTGAGCAGGGGGCTTTTTCCACAAGGCTCCCCACCCCAGTTCTGGCCTTACAAGCTCTCCAGTTTTGGAGAGCCGCAGAACAACGGGGTCTGCCCCCTGGGCCCGTGATGCTCCTTGCAGAAAGCTGAGGGAGGCCATCGGGGTGTTGCCACCCAAAGCTCTTTTCATGAGACGGGGGAAAAAGCGGCTCCTTGCGTGGGGGTCAGCGCTTGCCACAGCACCCCAGGGTAGGGCGCTCTTGGTCCAGTTCTTGCCTGGGGAAGCTGCAAGGGCGGGGGGGGGGGGGCCGAGAAAAAACGCTTGTCCACCTCTTTATATTAAGTCAAGTCCTGAAAACTTCCTTCAAGTTCCTCATACTTCCTGCAAGTTTCACTGCCACTCCCGCCACAAGGAAATCAACTGAGTTGATCAAGAAATCAACTGAGAATCCAGCCCAGAGAGAATTCCTCTCCTGCAGTGACGCGAAGCAGTGTGAGCTACAGGGCCAGTTGGGACCCATTCAAATCACACAAGATCCATGCACAAAGCGCCAGGACGGGGGACGCGGTCTGGATCCGGACAGCACCTGCAAAATGGAATTGGTGAGGGGAGCACGGCTGACTTGAGCCACGGATGCCCGCGGGAAGAGGGTCCTCACCGCCCCCTCCCAGGCTCTGCTGCCTTCCCACTCGAGCGCCTTCCTGCCCCCCCCCCCATCTCCACGGGGCGAATTAGACTCGGCGTGTTGGGCACACAGGAGGGAAAGCGCTTGAAGCTGGGCTTTGCAGCGGAATGAACGGCTCTCCCAAGAATACGCTCGGCGAAGTAACGAACAGGGTGGCGCCACCTCGTCCTCCCGTTCGCTCTCCTCTGCACCCGTCGCCACACTTCCTACAGCATACGTTGGAATATGGAGAGGAATTTCCCTGGAAAATGCCCCCCCCCCCCAGGGGTTCCCCCTTCCCCCCTTTCTTTGGCTAGGCACACCTGGCGGGCAGAAAAGCATTCCCCCCCCCCCCCGCCCCCCCCCCGCCACGAAGGAGACCTGGCCTTTTGTCTCCAGGACGCAGAGGCAGAATGTTGCGATGATCCTTTATTGTCTGGCCTTATCCGTCACTTGGGGGGGGGGTGTCTTTGGGTGCAAGCAGTTAATGAAAAGAGCATAGAAATGGCCCCATCCGGTGGGTCGCCCATGACCCTCTGAGCACGGAGGATTTGGGGCCTCCTCTGGAGGATGGGGGGAGTGCGGAGGCAAAGCGCCCCCCCCCCCCGCTTCTCGCACCCTGCCACGCCGCCTCGCGCCTGCTCTGGAGGAGCACGGGGGAGGCCTCCCCCCTCCCTCCCCCAGGCCCCAGGACGCCCCCCACCCCCGGGGCAGGCTCCGAGCTCGGCCGACCTCCGGTGACTTTGCAGAGCACCGGCTGAGAGGGCGGGAGGGGCACTGCGCATTCGGCCCCCGTCCCACCTTCGGGCACTGGGAATTAGCCGAGGGGGCGCCTGGCGGCCCGGGGGGCAGCGCTCCCGCAGACCCCGCTGCCAGCGCCGCCCGCTCTGCTCGCCTGGTCTCCACCTTGGGGTCCCTCCGCTCCCTTTACTTTTTTCTTGCTCTCGCCTCTCCTCCCAATTTCTCCTACTTGGCATAATTGAAGGAACTGGAATAGCCTGGAGGACATTAGCTGTAAATTCTTCCGAAGAAAAATAAATGCAGCTCCATTCGAATTTCTTTTCTCTCAAAAAGTCCAAAGACTTGCTCTGTTTTGGTTTAAAATAACAATTACGGTAACCGTGACTTCGGGGCAGCCGGCCTCTCTAAGCAAATAAATAGGTTTTATTAATTAACGCGAGTCCGTTGCCAATGGTCCCCCATTTGATCTCAGTGGTCAGAATTAGCAAACACAAACAGGCGCCGCTCGGGGCCCTGAATGCGGATCTGGCAAATTTGCACTCGGCCGCAGGCGCAGGGAGGCCTCGGGACGCCCCTGCGCGGAAAGCCGCTCGCTCGCTCGCTCGCTCGCTCCCTGCCGCTTCGCGCTCGATGCCGCTGAACCTCCTCGACGGCCCGAGCACGGCGCTGAAATACGCGGGGCGCAAAGCGGGGGGCCCCCTCGGCTGCGCCACTTCTGCGCGCGGCTGCCGGTCAGCACCGTTCCACCGCACAGAGGACCCCCAGATTCCTCTTAGACAGTGGCTCTGAACCGGGTGTTCATCGGATCAAAGCCTTTTTTGGCTCGATCCTTTCTGCACAAAACTCCACGTGTTTTTTCAAGCGCATTTCCATGCATTTTTCCATATGCCTTTCCCCCAGGGCACATCCTCGAAATGTGCGCGTTTATAAAAGACTTGCTCCCAGCGGGGATGAAAAGTACCAGGACTGATTTCGGGTTTGGATCCATCCGGCTGCTTGCCTTCTTGGTGTCGCCCTGCGGGCGAGCGGCTATGCAGACTAGCTGCGGTTCAGCATTTACCTCATGCCATGGCCCTCAGTGAGGGAATTTTTAAAATAGCTTTTCTGTTGCTGATTCAGCACTTCTGTCTGTTTGGTGCTGTCCTAGCCCATGCCTCTGAACACTGCGATTTTTTGAAAATGCACTGCAAATTACAGGAAGTCCTTCAAAAAGTCAGAATGCTTGCCGGAGCCTGGCGTGTTCACAGTCAAGACCCGAACCCTTTGTCCTGCTGTCCTTTGCAATGATCTTTCTACAGTAGCATCTGTAGGTGTCGTCATATAACATTATCTGCTATTAGTATTAAAATTGATAGACTGCTCTTTTCTTCCAAGAAGTCGAAAGCAGTGTGTCTGATCTGCCTCCCCTTTTTATTCTCACTGTGCCCCTTCACGGTAAGCTCACCTGTGCCTCTTCCTCCTCTCTC